GCCTCCAACCTACATGTAAAGCAATGAATGTCAATTGGAAGTAGAAAGGCTGAAAGTTCTTCGCCCTGCAGCTCTGATGTGTCAGTTCACTGTGGAGGGCCAACTGTTGACTCATCGAGTGAGTTCTCGATGACACTGATGAGTCCGTGTTCCCTGCTCTTGACTCTCCCAGACAAACAGCACAAAGGCTGCTACTTTCCGTCTCTATGCCAGTGCACTCTGTCGGAGTATGAAAAGGACAATCAATCCAACCGGACAACACGTGCCATTGAGATGGAAGATTGTCCACGTCGTCCGGTCCACGTCGTGCTACGCCGTCCTGCAAAAATCGTCCACGTCACACAAATACTGGAGAGAATCAACAGTTCCTTGGAGGCCGGCGATGCCAAGATGTCTGGCCCCTATGATTGAGGACAATGAATAATTTAAAATACATAATATTCCTAGACATTACACATGAAGAATGTGTCTGGGCGCAGTGATATGGTGCACAAAATTTGTGGTTCTTTTCACGAACGACTGAGACCGACTCGAGATTCTTGGAGCTAATAGTAGCGTCCTTGTTACAATCGCCGTCCCAAGGGTCTAGAAGAGCTGTAGGCTCCGCAGCCACAATAGCCGCCAGCAAGACCAAGGAGAGCCTCGGCTTCATGACACTGGGTACCCTGTGCGGTTTTGCGGAACAGCGTGTCAATGTCGGGAACCCCATGTCTAATTCGCTGCTATTTACAGTACATTCATGCCTCTTGAAGTCCTCGAAGTGCATTTCGACTGCGCAGGGTCGCAGAATCTGGGTGTCCACGGCGGGCGCTTCTCGCGACTGCGCTCTGGTTGTGGCGACGTGCACATTTTCGGACATGGTGGTCACTTTTCGTGGCAGGCGCATGGGAAAACTCATGTTTTGGTGGTCCAAAATCGACTTTTCGTGACACGCGCAAGGGATCGGAGCGGCGTTACTTCGAAATGCAGATTTCGCGGCAGCACTTTGGACATGGTGGAGATCTAGGAGGCGCTCTAATTTTGTGACAGGTGCAGTGAATCGTGACTTTTCTACATGTGGCTCGTTTTCAATAATTGGAGCATTTTGGTGTCTTGATGTTATCTTTGGAATTAAGCGCTCTTGCGGCAAAACGCTTTGGCAGGGCTGCCGCATGTGAATCTTGAAGTGCAGATTTCGTAGCACGGGCAGCACTTTGAAAACCTCAAGCTGCTGATTTCGTGGCAGGTGCAGCATTTTGTGAACCTCAAAGCGCAGGCTTCGTGGCAGGTGCAGCACTTTGTCAACCTCCATGTGCAGATTTCACGGCAGGCGCAGCACTTTGTGCACCTCGACGCTCTCAACCTCAAGACCTCCAGAACGCATTCTGTGCTATCTGACGCGTGCTCTCGGATACTCACTCGCACACTAACTCACACTCGCACTCGCACTCACACTCACTAGATCTCTAGACTTTCTGCTGCTACACCTCTAGACCTCACACACTGTTTGGGGTCTCTTGCCGGGATAAGATTTTCTGGCGTTGGACAGGGTCTCTACTTGGGGATTTATGTCAATGTCGTCCACCTTGTGGGGAGTCGCAAGGTGAAGGCTACAAATAAAGTGTAAAGAAACAAACAAAGGTTTAAAGGCCCCAAAACCAAAAAAAAAAGAAAAAACAGTCCATAGAAAACAGAATGGTCTAAAGGTGTTTAAACGAGTTTGTTTTGTCAAAAGCTCATATTCACCGAACATAGAGGGGTCTAAAGGTCTAAAGCTAGCTAACCAGTCGCCTACGGAGGACCCCCTAGGTGCTCTGAACATCGAAGGCACCAGATACGATGCCTGTTAGCGATGCACCTTGTTATTGCTTCTTGCTCCTAGTATATAGCGATGCCCTTTGGTACTAGCAGAATAGAGCCACACACAATAAAACCAATACAACCTATAGATGGTGACAATGTGTTCACCAGCTAGGTTAGCGTCCGCTGATTTTTCACATTCCAAATATGTCTGACGGTAGGCCAGGGAACCCATGCACAGATTTCTTAGATTCTGGATGCAATCCCGAAACGTTTGTTCATCAAATCCAACTAGTAGCTTCTTGTTACTACAGGTGAAACGATTCCCAGAGAAACGATTCCCAAGGACGCTTCTAGCTCCTAGTAGCGTCCTTGGTACACATGAAACATAATGAAACACTTGTAGCTTCTAGTAGCTTCTTGTTCTTAGTAGTAAGGCCAGGAGCCCCTAGTAGCGTCTTTGCTCCTAGTAGCGATGCCCTTTGCTCCTAGTAGCGATGCCCTTGTTACTAGTAATGAAACACTCAGTCACATCCCACGGAGCAGCCAGTCACATCTCAAGCCCGAGTCACACGCCCACGCGGAGCTCGCGATGGGGTACGGTGTCGCCCGGCACACCCAGCTCCGTCGGCTCCTAAAGAGATCGAGGAAAAATCCCGTTCACCTAGAAACAAGGACGCTACTAGGAGCAAAGGGCATCGCTACTAGGAGCAAGAACGCTACTAGGGGCTCCTGGCCTTACTACTAGGAGCAAGGACGCTACTAGGAGCAAAGGGCATCGCTACTAGGAGCAAGAACGCTACTAGGGGCTCCTGGCCTTACTACTAGGAGCAAGGACGGTACTAGGAGCAAAGGGCATCGCTACTAGGAGCGCTACTAGGGGCTAGGAACAAGAAGCTACTAGAAGCTACAAGTGTTTCATTATGTTTCATGTGTACCAAGGACGCTACTAGGAGCTAGAAGCGTCCTTGGGAATCGTTTCACCTGTAGCAAAAAAGATACTAGGAACATCTAGGAACGGTCTTTGAAGCTAGTAATAAGTGCCACGCTAGTAGTAACAAGTGCCTTACTAGTAGTAACAAGAAGCTACTAGTAACAAGTGCCACGCTAGTAGTAATAAGTGCCACGCTATTAGAAACAAGAAGCTATTAAGAACAAGTGCATCGCTACTAGGAACAAGTGCCTTACTAGTAGTAACAAGGACGCTAGTAGTAACAAGGGCATCGCTACTAGGAAAGGACGCTACTAGGTCTTTGAAGCTACTAGTAGCGATGGCCTCCAACCTAAGAGGTTTCATCCCATTCACCTGTCTGGTCCCTCAATCTCAATCCCGATGGATGATCCGTTGCTGGATGATCCCTTGGCTGGTTTCTCGGTCTTCCTTAGGCTAGGGCGGCGCTGAAGATCATTTAAGGTCTTGTCTTGATATCTGAAATAATCTGAATGACCAGTAGATACCAGTAGTGTACCTGTCACCTTCCAGAACAACATCTGAATCGAGCAGCCACTCTATTAGGAAAAACAACATGACTGGAATACAAAACAAAGTTGCTAAACCTTCGACCAAAGCGACCGATTCCATCGACAAAAGAAAAAACCGAGCAGCGTGAAACCCCCATGCCCATGCGAATGCCCGCCTTGTTTAGGGTGCTTTGCATCACTCCGCACCACAAAAGCACTAGACCAGATGCGGTGGCACGAAGAACGCGTCGCTGCCTTGTTTCCTTGCACTTGACTATGATATGTTGCAGAAATGCACTGTCTCTACCCATCGCTCGTAGGTTGGAGGCCGCAACTAGGTTCACCAACTGCGCCTCTGTCTGCAATGTCTCTAAACCTGCCTCAGTGACTCCCCCCCCCCCACCCCCAGATCGGGGAGAGGGTCGTTTTCTGGGACCCTTTTTGAGCCAATATGCCGGACATACGCCACAGGTGTGGGTGTGTGCACAAGGGCGTGAGGTGGTTGGCGGGTTTAATGTTCACAGTCATTGGATTTCTTGTAGCTTATGACCAGATTGGAGCTTGTTGTGGGGATCTGACATCCTGATGAGAGAGTGATATGTCTTTCAAAGGCTTGCAAAGCTCGAGAGACGTGTCGATCTATCTTGTGGTCTTTCAACATGAAGATCCGAATCGTCTGAATGTTCTAGCTTGCTGAACAAGAAGCTACTAGGAGCAAAGGGCATCGCTACTAGGAGCAAGGACGCTACGAATGTAGCTCCTGGCCAGCGGCCTCTTGGAGCTGGTGATTCGTTTAGGTCCTACACTGCACTGTTGAACCATCCCGAAGCTTGTTTGAAGAATATCTTGTTTTAAATGTGTGTTGGAATTTGTGAGCATGGTTGAAGCTTTGGAAATACATATTTCACATTTTTCCACACACTCTTGACACCATTGTTGTGACAATGATGCTTTTGATTGAAGAGAATCGACTGCCCATGCCGACAAATGAGTTTGATCTCCATAGTTTTGCCAAAGCATTCACTGTTGGCTGGGTAGGAGCAACCTTCTGCATGCGTTTGTGTGGGCGTTGCTAAGAAAACAACGACGACGGAGGAACTTCGGTTGTTCGGTCAAGTCCCGGCTGGTTGCACTCTGGCTGTCGGAATTGAGATCAAGAAGACCACTTTCCAACGATACTAGCGACCAAACTTAACGTATCTCTATATCAAATAAATATCAATGCTGTATATTTTACATATAATACATTATAATACATTTATATACATTTGATTACATGTGTTTGGGTGCAAACATCGGTGCAGTTGGGTATCTTACGTGTCAACACAAAGCACCAGAGGGAATCTCTGGGTGGTTTCGGCGGAATCTCTGGAATCGTGGCTGAAGACACCTCGGCAGCTGGCCCTACGCTGTGCCTAGATCGACCAAAATAGGTTCCAAAGCATCATTCAAGAGGATCTTCTCTGGGCGAATGTCCCTGCGTGGCGCGACCAAAACATCGGGCAAAGGTCGAAAAGAGGTCTTTTGAGCGCCAGAAAAGCGGGAACATGCGGTAACCATCTCTTAGCTGGGCCAGGATTGACCTTGCTGACCTAGCAGTTCCAAAAGGGTTCTGTCAATACAAACCTGGCACAGAAAAGCCTACAAATGTTGATGGCAAACTCTGCGGTGGAATGCAGACCCGATGGAATGCAGGTTAGCAAAACTACTGACCGACTCTTCGTGGTGCGGTGAAACATCTTTGAGAAGCCTTGGCTAAACAGCCTTGATCTTGGTTTGAATCTGCCAATTACCTCTCTGGTTTGGCCCTCACTTGCAAAGAACTCCAAGTGTTGCGGCCTGTGGAGGATCTTCTTGCTGTGCAAGAAGGCCACGGCGGAGAGTAAGCAAATCGCGAGCACGTCACCCCGTGCCAGCAGGAAGGGACCATGCCTGCAGGCCAAAACAGTTTTTCACAAGCGCGCGAACTGGACAAGGGATGCTGAACTTGATGATTGTTTCCAAGAAAGAAGGCCCAGGACGCTACTGGGGGCTCCTGGCCTTACTACTAGGAGCAAGGATGCTACTAGCCCTTGTAATTAGTGCTGTTTCTTGCACCACAGCCTATTTCTATTTTCCTTTTTCTTGCACCCAGCCGATGAGGCTATACAAATGGATTTGGTGGACAAGCAAGCAAGGCAAACCACCAATTTCTTGCTCCGTGATTCATGGTTTCCGGGTTCTTCTACCTTCACACTAGCTTGGTGTATGTCCAGTGTCAGAGTGCAAAAACAACGTTTAGACACTAAACAATGTGCATTCCGTGTTGTGGCTGGACAAGCACGTGTCTGCTCTGTGCCACTGGTGATGATATTGACCAAACACTCTTGGCCCAGGCACATATCGATGTAGTCCGAGAGCCGGCCGTTGCTGTATCTCTCCATGCTCAAAATCCAAACCGTCCTGCGAGAAGGGAGAGGAATCTAAACAGGAAGTTCATTGGCCTTCGCTACTAGGTTGGAGGCCATCGCTTGTAGGTTGGAGGCGCTCGCTAGTAGGGTGGAGGCGATCGCTAGTAGAATCTAAACAGGAAGTTTATTGAAATTCATCCAAAATCAGGAAGTAGTGGCTCCTATGGCTCCTACTGCTGGGAATCGCAACATGAAACAAAGGAAAAGCAAAGAGATGATTTCAACACGTGCAAATGGAAGGAAGGACTCTACAGATCACTGATAATGCTTGACGCCATGGATTCCCTCCAAGCCTTCAATTGCGCCTGAACCATGCTTCAGAACGTCATGACTCATGACACTTTTAAAGGAACGATTTCCACTCCTGTCACTGATTTCTCAATATTGCATGACCCAACGGTACCTTTTTCACTAAGTCACTGGGAAAGGTTGTGTTGAAGCCGTGAGCGGCGATTTGGGTGCACTGGCACTTCACTTCATCTCCCATGATTGGGTCGACGCCCGGGTGAGGGTTAGTTTCGTGGCGCCCAAAGATTTCACATCCTTTTGTGTATTTGTGAATGCTTTTGTGACCGCTTTAGCAGTCAGGACCACTGGCAAATCTTCTTGACTGTCGCCGACTCTTTCCAGTTCTTGCCATGTTTTTTGGAGGAAAGGACCGCTGCCCCCCCCAATCGCCCCCGGCAGTCTTGTAGCGCTGTGGAGCTAACCACGTGCCTCCCAGAGAGGCAGCTTAATTCAAGCTCCCCAAGTTGGCTTGGCCAAAAGGATAGATATGTGGTCAAATTAAACCACGACCTCGTTTGTGGTTTAATTCCTTCAATACTTTGGCGTCGCAATTCTCTTCAGCCATAGACACCACCCGCCGCAGGGAAGCGGCTTAGCGGAAAGCGGGTGAGGGGACCTGGGATGGTGTCGCTGTGGGCCGACTGGTCGAACATCTCTAGTTTGGCTGAACGAAACGTTGGGTGGAAGTGGCAAGATCAGATCATCCGACGCAAGCGACACCTTTCGATGATGCTGTTCCTTTCGTCTGCCAACGGAACCCCATCCAACTGAGAGTCTGGCTGAGTCTGGCTGAGATTCCAACAAAAGATCCAACCCGAACCCAGTAGCGAACTGGCTCGGCTAATGATTTAATAGTATAGCCTTTTCGAAACACTCTGGTTTCACTGCCTACCCGCAACCTTCCGCCATGTTCGATTCGTTCGTCCATCAACTCTTTGGCCCGGCCATGCAGGCTTGTGATATTGGGATGTCGTCCGCAAAGGGACCTCAGTCACACCGGAGAAGCGCAGAACTGGCCAAGACCCAAAGCAACCGCAGTCATGTCAGACCTTTTGTTTCTGGACGGGGCCCCTGACGGACAATATGTCCAAAACTAAACCGCCAAAGTATCAACACTGATTTTTTTGGGTGTATAAATGGCTGCGTTCTTTCTAGCGGGTCCCTTCGTAATGACAAGGATCCGTTTAGTACTCGGCGTTGGGTGAAACAGTCCGACTCTGATTTCGACACTGGAGAGTTCAATTGAGACGAGAGGAAGAACACACCACCATGGGCCACCCAGTTCGACCAGCGATCCAGCCGACAGAAACCATGGTTCAAGACAAAACACAGAAAGTCTGCAGAGCTGGTCTGAAACTCTCATTTGCTCGCCACAAAAAGCCGAGACCATCAGAAAACAAGCATGTCTGCTTGTTAGCAACCTGTTTGGGGAATAAGACAAGATCGTGATCTCTATATAAAAGCATGTGCATCCTTGTTTTTTGTTTGCGAAAGAGGACCTTCCAGGCCGACTCCAACCGGTCACCGATCGTCACCCACTCTGAGGCCCCAAACAGGAAGTAGACCTCATTGATGACCTCGACGACGCGCTGAGTTCCGCGCATGCAGAGCATGCAAAACAAGGAGTTGTCGATGGGTCAAAAGACGGTGGCATCCGAAAACCGATCCACATATGACAGCCGAGTTCATTGTGGCGCCTCTCATCACAACAGGACGCAACACAACAGAAGCAAAAGGCAAGACTTGAGGATGTCTGATGTTCTTGAAGTCCCGGATGTCTCCTTCGACTAGTGGGATATCAGTGGGGTACAAGGCAAAGCCCCACATTTGGTCGGTTCGCCATTCTGACACTCATTCGGGCTGTCAACTCATTCGAGGTGCGTTTTCGGATCGCTCCACGTTTCCAAACCGGCCGGAGACCTCGAGCTCCAAACACCACCGGGCTCCCTGGCAGCAGTGGCATGCTCGCTGCTGTCGATCTTTTGTAAGAGCTTAAGCCTCGGCACGTTGACGGCCCCACCTTCCTCCCTCACACGTTCCACAGCGGCGCGCGAAAGCAAAACACGGAGATTCTGAGTCACCTTGGGTGGTGCGCCTTCCACCGAGATGCTACTACTAACAAAGGGCATCGCTACTAGGAGCAAGAAGCTACTAGGGGCTCCTGGCATCGCTACTAGGAGCAAGGACGCTACTAGGGGCTCCTGGCATCGCTACTAGGAGCAAGGACGCTACTAAGGGCTCCTGGCATCCCTACTAGGAGCAAGGACGCTACTAGGGGCTCCTGGCATCGCTACTAGGAGCAAGGACGCTACTA